TTCTGTTCTTTCTTTTCAGGCTGGGGGAGCATAGTGAGGTTTATTACTCATTTACAAGTGCCCATTACCTGCTAAACATTTCCCCTTACAGCGCCTGGCAAGGAAAGTGCAGTCCCAGCCCCTCCACCCCTACCCCTCTGAGATGCGATTAACGCCAAAGGCAGGAGCTCCAGGTTGAGACCCACAGAGTCACAGAAAGGCCGGAAGTCGGCCGTATGTTCTTCACCTGCAGAGGAGGGAGCAAGTTCAGATTCAGCGTCCACTCAGCAGGTGCTGATGCTGACGCCACAGCCGTGGGCTGGGGGCTTTCATTTACACTCCCATTTAACCCTCATCCCTCTATTAGTAAGTGTAACGGACTGAACTGGATTCTCCTAAATTCATATGTTTAAGCCTCGATACCTAAAGTAAATATATTTGAAGATAGGGCCTTTAAGGAGGTAGTTGAGAGTGGAGTAATTAATTCTGAACCTGAGGAGGAGACCCCAGGAGTGAGAAGACACAGAGGAAAGACCACGTGAAGACATAGTGAAAAGGTAGCTCTCTGCAGGCCAAGAAAAGAGGCCTCGCCGGGAATCAGCCCTACTGTGAATTTCCAGCCTCCAGAACTGTACACACTAGTTTCTGGTGCAGAATCACCTGGTCTGTGGCATTCTGCTATGTAGCCTTGCTGACTAATACAGTAAGTATGAACTTTATACAATTGTTTTTTGAAGATGCCTAAGGGTGTGTGTACATAAGAGAGAGAGAGAGGCAGTGAGAAGCAAAGTGAGAAATCACCCACCAGAGGGGATGGCCACGCTTCAATCCCTTCTCCTCCCCCGGTCTTGGGCAGGCACACATACATGCCTGTTGTGATTTTTAATCCACCAGGTCTGAGATGCAAACCACGGTCAGCCATGTGAGAGTCCAGCGATGTTACTGCTATGCCATCTGCTGGTCCCCTAAGCTTACATAGTTTCAATAAGAAAAGAGAATGAAGCAAAATGGGTGGGCATACTGGTGCTCTAGAATGTTCCACCATCCATATTCCATTTGCCATGAGGGGAGGGGGGGTCTAAGTGCCAGACCTCTGCAAATCGACTTTGCTTCGCTCCTTTCTTTCCGAGGGCTCCAGACTACCCATGGGGATGTGCACAGAGAACCACGCAGGGTCTCCTTCATTGGCGAGGCAGGGGCATTTCAAAGGAAAACGTGATTCTATGGGAGTCCTCCTTCACTCTGCACATCTTGCCTGAGTTGTACTCATAATGGCCACCCTTCCCTGATGAGCCGAGTTCCACTCTGCACATCTTGCCTGAGTCGTACTCACAATGGCCACCCTTCCCTGATGAGCCGAGTTCCCTCTGCCCTAGGGCCTTTGAGGATGCTGCCTTTTCATCCTGGACTGCTCTCCTGCCCTGTCTGCCCGGCCAACTCCTACCTGTGGGTCTAACCCTTTGGATTTCAATGAATCCATTACTTCTGCAGAGAAGCCTTCCCTAAACCCCTAGCCAGGTCCAATCCTGCCCATACTCTAACGGTACCACGTAACCTTCCTCCAAAGCCCTGTCAGTGTGGCAACTTCCCTTTATTATCTGTTGAAAGCATCACTTCCCTTTGGCCCTTGGGCTCCCTGAGGGCAGGGCATGCTGGGCACCACTGCCCCCACAACTAGCACCCTGCAGGCACCCCACAGAGGCTTCCCGGAGGAACAGACCAAGCCACTTATTAGGAATAACTCTGGGCCAGTTACTTTGCCTCTTTGGGGCCCACATTCTTCCTGGGAAAATGAGAGGGCTGGATTTCATGGCTGTTAAGTTGCTGCAGGCTGCTCAAAGCACAGTGAATCCCTCGGGTGAGAAACTCCAGAACTGAGTGAAGGGAAGCGGGATCAGTTAAGTCCCCATTAGGCACAGGGAAGCAAGGCTAATGAGAAGTCCCTGAGAAGCATCACCCAGGAAGTGTCTGTGAGGGATCCCGGACAGACCTTTCCCTCAGGCTGTGCACATGTGGAAGGCAAACTAGGCCCACCTCCTCCTCTGGGTGCTCTCATCCACGGGGGCCAAGAGTGATGGGAAAAAATGAGGAGAAGGCCAGGGGCCAAAATACTGGATCCCGGTAACGGAAAACCAATGATCTTTGCTAATTGTTAGCGTGGTTCAGTAAGCCGTTATTGAGCATCTGCTCTGAATCTGCACTGGGCTTTCAGAGAGCAGTGCGACGCGGTTCCTGCCTTCAACGGTCTGGTGGGGAGAGAGCATTTTCTTAGTTTTCTCCTTCCTCCTTTCTTCCATTCAAATATCTGTACTTGGACCGCTAATGGGAACAGAGTGTGGGACATATATATTTTGAATCTTAAATTGCGGTCAAGAAGCCACACTTAGCCTTACATACTTTAAGCAAGCAGAACCATAGCAAATCTGTTTTTTGACATGCCACAAACTTTACGTCTCCTGCGAAGCCATCCCTAATCATCAGGAGTCAGAAATTGTCAGAAATCTGGACGGGGTGAAGGTAGCAGCTGGAATTTTGGAGTTGAGCTTAGACTCTCGGAGTGAACTCTGGCAAGGGACTTCAGGCTCCTGAGCCTCAACGTTCTTCATTTAACGTAATGGGGAGAAGGTATACATATGTGAGGGGTGACAGGTCTTAAACCAGACCCTGCACGGGAGGAGCCTCTTCTCTGCCCGCTGAGTTTCCTGGTCTTTAGTGCACACTCTCAGGGAACAATCCAGCCGGGCGTGCCGCTGTTCTCAGGTACCCATGTCGCCTTTGCTAGACTGAGATCTAGATACGGCTGCGTCTTGGCCATCCTGACCAATCTACACAGACCAGTAGTGTGCCCAGCACCCAGAGGGCACTCTAAAGTTCTCTTGGATGAATAAGGTGTGTATCGGTTCCCTCCTCCAAAGAGAAAAGATCCAGGATAGAAGACAGGGCAAGCTGCTCTTTATTTCAACAAGGGAGAGACTAGGTATTATGGGCTAGAATGGCGGTGTCTTCCAAAGCAGGAAAATGACAAGGGAGAGGAAGACAGTGAGGTGGCCTGGTGGAGGTGGACGGCTGGTGCTCTTGGTGAGTTCAGTGCACTGCTGTCCCTCCTCCCCACCAGCAGCCCCCTCCCCACCCTGGGTGACAGCCTCACCCTTGACCTGTGAGCATTTCCTTCTGGAAAGAAGACTCAATGGCATTCTGGGATAGGTCACTCATTACTTTGCCCTGTTAATAGCTGACAGAACTGGTTAAAACAAGGTTTTCAGAGGATTTTCATGTATTGCCTTATTTGATTACAGAATAAGTGAATTAATTAATGAGCAACATGGCCAACTGAGTTCACAAATACAGAGGGATAGAAATTTCCAGGGCTCTTTTTGGGGACCTTATAAATCATTCCAGAGGTTCTAGCCTTTATTTCATGGTTTTAAAAGATGGCTGGGGAAGCCCCTTCCTCTGGAGAAGCCCTTCTGGGCAAATCATCTGTCTGCTTCCTTGTTCCAAGCAGCCCTTGGAATAGACGGGCAAAAGTGGACCTTTCCCTCCCTCCTTGTGCCCCCAACCACGATCTCCCTTTTCTGAACCCTCCACCAAGCACGCAGTGCTCCAGCCTCGATTGCACTGACCTCTTGTCAAGCACACACCAAGGGCTTCAGTGGCATGTCCCATTATGTGGATGACATGGCCATTAGTAACCATGGTAACCTTCCCTTCCAGCTTTTGTGGCTCCACAGGCCTAATTTACACACCAGTCTCTTCCAGGTTTGAAGGGGTTATGGGACCTAACCAGAGTGGCACCTGCCTTTAGGCACAACAAGGCAAATAGCAAGCACTTTAAAAGCTTTTCTGGCTAAAAGAAACAACCTCAACTACCTGATTTAGTAAATTTATACTTACTTTTTTTTTTTCTTCTTTTGGAGAGTTTTTTTTTGCTATAGGGCATGTGCACTCGCCAGACAGAGAGAGAGACAGAGAGATAGAAAGCGAGAAATCACCCCCCAGGGGGGATGGCCACGCTGCAATTCTTTCTCCTCCATTCTCCTCTCGAGATCTTGGGCACGCACGCACAGGCACCCGGCGTGAGTTTAAGCCACCGGGTCCAGGACTCGAACTGCAGTCGACTACGTGGGAGTTCAGTGACATAGCCATTACGCTAACTGCTGGTCCCTAAATTTATACTTACTTTTCAAAATAAAATCCAAAAGGAAAAAAAAAAAAAGACAAGACATTCTTTCCATGTTTGTTTTTTACCACATAGACGCGAAACCTATAGACTGCATGTTATTCTAACAAGTTTTAGAATGGACAGGCCTGAGGCTGACTCCATAGCCAAGCAGTTAAGGGAGCCAGATCCCAGCCCTGGAGGCTTGAAGGACCCCAGGCAGTGAGGCTATCACCCCTAGCACCGCCTTGCAAAATAACGTGACATTACCAGCCCCTATTTTCTTTCCTTTTCGTTTATTTATTTATCTTGAGAGAGATTTTTGCTACAGGGTAGGTGCGCTTGCCAGAGAGACAGAGAGATAGGAAGCAAGAAATCACCCTGCAGGGGCGATGGCCGCGCTTCAATCCCTTCTCCATTCTCTTCTTGGGATCTTAGGCATGCACGCACACTCGCCTGGCATGAGCTTCAAGCCGATGGGTCTGGGACTCAACAGCCGTCAACTACGTGGGAGTCCAGCGACATAACCATTACACCCTCTGCTGGCCCCCTTTTTAAAGAAACGTTTAAAAGGAACCCATCTACCACAAAAAACGATACGTATCTGAGATGATGCATGTGCGAGTTGGTTGCATGGAGCTATAGATACCTATTCCAAACGTCAGGCTGTCCCTGTTAAATTTGTCATGTCAATGCTATGTTCAATATATATTGATCATCATTAACAAAATGAATGAAAGAAAAAGAAAGCATCACCTGTGTTAACATCTCTGCACCCTCCCACCTCGTCGGGCAATAACAGAAGGGAAGACCAGCCCTCTCCCCAGTGGCCTGGGGTGAACAAGCACAGCTAGTTAGTTACCTGTCTACACCGGGCCAGCCTCAGCAGGGACACTGTCGGAGTCGGAGTCGGCCAGCTCATTTGCACCTTCTGCTGCCGTCTGACTCCAGCTATCCGACCTGTCTGAGATGGCGTCCTCCTCTCCGACGGTCACCTCCACGTAATCCACAACGCCTGACTCCTCGTTCTCGTCGCTGCCCTGGCCATCCCGGCTGCTGCCCTCTGACCTGTCCGAGGTGGCCTCTGAGGGCTTTGCTAGCAAATAATCTTTTGCTTGCTCACTGCCCACTTTTGATCTGGGTACCAACTTCTCCAAGTCCTCTTCGCAGAGCTTTTTGGGGTCCTTGTAATATTGCTGAACCACCTCACTTCCGTTCTTTGGGCTCCCGGCGACGGGTTTTGAGGCTTTCCTTGCCACGGTGTCATAGCCGTGGTCATCCGCTATGTGCTGCTGCTGATACTGCTCCATCCACTTTAAGGTTCCAGTTTTGAGCAGGCATCTGTTCTCCTTGAACCAACGCACAATCTCAGTTCGGACCAGGCCGGTCTTGGTTGCTAACTGGTCGTACTCCTGAGGAGTAGGCCACTGGGTTCTTGCAAAGGTGCGCCTCAGGAAATGAAGCTGTTCTTGACTTTTCGTAATTGCTGGTGAAGGACTGGGCAAAGAACTGGCTAACTGGGCACCGGAGATCTGGTCAAGTCGAGGCAGAGCACCGTTGGGGGTTGCCGCATCTTGGCCTTTTTTGCCAGACCCCATGGAATCCAAGACAGCTTGTTCCATGGAGTCCCGAAGCTTCCGCCGCTCTGAGAACCACGAGTCGATCTCTCTCCTGCTCAGCTTGGTCTCCACCCTTAGCCGATCTAGTTCTGCTTGGGTTGGAAAAGAGCTCTTCAAAAAGCTGTCTTCCAGGACTTTCACCTGGCCCTGGTTTTTCTCTTTGAACTTTTGGGGCACAAAGTCTGGGTATGCTTGGTATGAGCGACCGAGTCGGGAGGCTGCGATGGCCAGCTGGTCTTTGGCAAGGGACTCGCTGGTGATGTGGACGATGCCCCTCTGACACCGGTACCGGTGGTCACTGAACCACTTCTTGATCTCACCCCTGGCGAGCCCAGTCACGTCGATGAGTCGGTAGACCTCATTGTCATCTGGGAACTGGCTCTGCAGGAAGCTGGCCTTGAGATGGGCTATCTGCTCCTTCGTCTTCTTGCGATCGTTGGCCGCGGTGAGTGGGGGGTTGGCCACCTTGGGTGGAGGTTCTGGCACCTGAGCGATGTGTGGACGCTTGGGCTCAGGGGCAGCTTGGGGAGTTGTCAAAGGTCTCTTCTGGCTGTGGTTGGTCACTCCAGCCACAGTGAGTGTGATGGGGGAGCAGGAGACGGTTGTTGACGCGCTCGTCACCTGAGTCAGCACCAGGCTGGTCTGGCCAAGAATCTGGCATGGTAGAGCTGACTGCAGGATAGGCTGCGACATCTTTGTGGGGGTCAACTGGGCGGGCAGCACTGTGATCGTCGGGGGCACTGACTGGATGGTGCCGTTGAACATCTTCTTCCGGGCCTCCTCTACCTCTTCGGGGGACCAGCTGATGCCATGCTTTAAACGCTGGGTAGCAAACCAGATTCTGATGTGCTCCTCAGGGTGTTTGGAGGCAGCTGTCAGCCAGGACAACTCAGCCTGGGTCGGGTAAGGGAACTTGTTGAAGGAGTTGATCATGGTGGCATTTGTATCCAGGGCAGAGTTGTATTTGGTAGTATTTAGTGGGACAGGGACCTTGGGGACAAGGTTGATATTTGGTGGCAGCTGTACAGAAGGCATGACGTGTCCTAATGTGTCTTGGAGGAGCTCCACGCTCCCGAGTCGCGAGAGGATCTCAGCTGTGTCTGTCACCAGGCGAGCAGTCCCTTCCACGTGGTTCTCAGGGGTGGCCTCCTCGGGCTTCTTGGGCCCCTTCTTGGCATCCGCTTTAGGTTTCCCAGGCTTCATGATGGGGGTTTTACTCACTGGGATCCCGGGATCACCGTCACCACTTCCAGAGCCACTGTTGGTGATGGATACAACATGGTTGGTGGCTTCGATGGACTGCTCTAAGACGGTTTGATTATTGCGCTTGATCAACTTCAGCTTGAAGTTAGTTTCCCCAGGATGGAACTTGGAGTTGTGGTCAGACAAGGAGTCATACTTTTTGGTTGTGAAGTTGCACTCGGCACACACGTAGAGGGGGTTGAGAATCACATTGGGGTGCTGCATGCAGTGAGGCTATCACCCCTAGCACCGCCTTGCAAAATAACGTGACATTACCAGCCCCTATTTTCTTTCCTTTTCGTTTATTTATTTATCTTGAGAGAGATTTTTGCTACAGGGTAGGTGCGCTTGCCAGAGAGACAGAGAGATAGGAAGCAAGAAATCACCCTGCAGGGGCGATGGCCGCGCTTCAATCCCTTCTCCATTCTCTTCTTGGGATCTTAGGCATGCACGCACACTCGCCTGGCATGAGCTTCAAGCCGATGGGTCTGGGACTCAACAGCCGTCAACTACGTGGGAGTCCAGCGACATAACCATTACACCCTCTGCTGGCCCCCTTTTTAAAGAAACGTTTAAAAGGAACCCATCTACCACAAAAAACGATACGTATCTGAGATGATGCATGTGCGAGTTGGTTGCATGGAGCTATAGATACCTATTCCAAACGTCAGGCTGTCCCTGTTAAATTTGTCATGTCAATGCTATGTTCAATATATATTGATCATCATTAACAAAATGAATGAAAGAAAAAGAAAGCATCACCTGTGTTAACATCTCTGCACCCTCCCACCTCGTCGGGCAATAACAGAAGGGAAGACCAGCCCTCTCCCCAGTGGCCTGGGGTGAACAAGCACAGCTAGTTAGTTACCTGTCTACACCGGGCCAGCCTCAGCAGGGACACTGTCGGAGTCGGAGTCGGCCAGCTCATTTGCACCTTCTGCTGCCGTCTGACTCCAGCTATCCGACCTGTCTGAGATGGCGTCCTCCTCTCCGACGGTCACCTCCACGTAATCCACAACGCCTGACTCCTCGTTCTCGTCGCTGCCCTGGCCATCCCGGCTGCTGCCCTCTGACCTGTCCGAGGTGGCCTCTGAGGGCTTTGCTAGCAAATAATCTTTTGCTTGCTCACTGCCCACTTTTGATCTGGGTACCAACTTCTCCAAGTCCTCTTCGCAGAGCTTTTTGGGGTCCTTGTAATATTGCTGAACCACCTCACTTCCGTTCTTTGGGCTCCCGGCGACGGGTTTTGAGGCTTTCCTTGCCACGGTGTCATAGCCGTGGTCATCCGCTATGTGCTGCTGCTGATACTGCTCCATCCACTTTAAGGTTCCAGTTTTGAGCAGGCATCTGTTCTCCTTGAACCAACGCACAATCTCAGTTCGGACCAGGCCGGTCTTGGTTGCTAACTGGTCGTACTCCTGAGGAGTAGGCCACTGGGTTCTTGCAAAGGTGCGCCTCAGGAAATGAAGCTGTTCTTGACTTTTCGTAATTGCTGGTGAAGGACTGGGCAAAGAACTGGCTAACTGGGCACCGGAGATCTGGTCAAGTCGAGGCAGAGCACCGTTGGGGGTTGCCGCATCTTGGCCTTTTTTGCCAGACCCCATGGAATCCAAGACAGCTTGTTCCATGGAGTCCCGAAGCTTCCGCCGCTCTGAGAACCACGAGTCGATCTCTCTCCTGCTCAGCTTGGTCTCCACCCTTAGCCGATCTAGTTCTGCTTGGGTTGGAAAAGAGCTCTTCAAAAAGCTGTCTTCCAGGACTTTCACCTGGCCCTGGTTTTTCTCTTTGAACTTTTGGGGCACAAAGTCTGGGTATGCTTGGTATGAGCGACCGAGTCGGGAGGCTGCGATGGCCAGCTGGTCTTTGGCAAGGGACTCGCTGGTGATGTGGACGATGCCCCTCTGACACCGGTACCGGTGGTCACTGAACCACTTCTTGATCTCACCCCTGGCGAGCCCAGTCACGTCGATGAGTCGGTAGACCTCATTGTCATCTGGGAACTGGCTCTGCAGGAAGCTGGCCTTGAGATGGGCTATCTGCTCCTTCGTCTTCTTGCGATCGTTGGCCGCGGTGAGTGGGGGGTTGGCCACCTTGGGTGGAGGTTCTGGCACCTGAGCGATGTGTGGACGCTTGGGCTCAGGGGCAGCTTGGGGAGTTGTCAAAGGTCTCTTCTGGCTGTGGTTGGTCACTCCAGCCACAGTGAGTGTGATGGGGGAGCAGGAGACGGTTGTTGACGCGCTCGTCACCTGAGTCAGCACCAGGCTGGTCTGGCCAAGAATCTGGCATGGTAGAGCTGACTGCAGGATAGGCTGCGACATCTTTGTGGGGGTCAACTGGGCGGGCAGCACTGTGATCGTCGGGGGCACTGACTGGATGGTGCCGTTGAACATCTTCTTCCGGGCCTCCTCTACCTCTTCGGGGGACCAGCTGATGCCATGCTTTAAACGCTGGGTAGCAAACCAGATTCTGATGTGCTCCTCAGGGTGTTTGGAGGCAGCTGTCAGCCAGGACAACTCAGCCTGGGTCGGGTAAGGGAACTTGTTGAAGGAGTTGATCATGGTGGCATTTGTATCCAGGGCAGAGTTGTATTTGGTAGTATTTAGTGGGACAGGGACCTTGGGGACAAGGTTGATATTTGGTGGCAGCTGTACAGAAGGCATGACGTGTCCTAATGTGTCTTGGAGGAGCTCCACGCTCCCGAGTCGCGAGAGGATCTCAGCTGTGTCTGTCACCAGGCGAGCAGTCCCTTCCACGTGGTTCTCAGGGGTGGCCTCCTCGGGCTTCTTGGGCCCCTTCTTGGCATCCGCTTTAGGTTTCCCAGGCTTCATGATGGGGGTTTTACTCACTGGGATCCCGGGATCACCGTCACCACTTCCAGAGCCACTGTTGGTGATGGATACAACATGGTTGGTGGCTTCGATGGACTGCTCTAAGACGGTTTGATTATTGCGCTTGATCAACTTCAGCTTGAAGTTAGTTTCCCCAGGATGGAACTTGGAGTTGTGGTCAGACAAGGAGTCATACTTTTTGGTTGTGAAGTTGCACTCGGCACACACGTAGAGGGGGTTGAGAATCACATTGGGGTGCTGCATGTCAACGTGCTCTGTGAACTCGTGCAGGTTTTGTGTGGAGTAGGGGCAGTATTTGCATTCATAACCACCTTGGAGTTTTTTGGATGGGTTTTCCCCAGTAGATTTCACCTCTATCACTTCATTTTCTTTGGAAGAGTTTCCGGGTTCTGCTGCCCAGCTGTCCTTGGCCACGTCTGGCTGTGGTGTGCCGGTTCCTTTGTCTTTGGCCCTGTCTACCTCCTCGGGCACATCTTGTTCTACTACTTGTGATGTCCGAACCATGCATGGGGTTGTAGATTTCCGTTTGCTTGCCATGCCGTCTGTCTGTGCGTGATGGCTTATTTTTGGAAGGGTGTAAGGAGGGGGCAGTGAAATTCTTGGAACAAATAAGATAAAAGGCTTTTGGCTTTACTCCCCCTTGAATGGCTTTGGCTTCCCTTGAAGGCTGTAGTCTACCGTTTGAGTTTTCAGAATGATTTCAGCACAGAAAACGGGAACTGGACCAGTTCCTAAACATGCCAGGTAGCATCATACCTGTGGGACAAGAACAAAGACAGGTCAGTGTCTCTCCACAATGCAAGAAACTAGCATCACTTTCTGAGCTATTCCCGTGGTCCATTCCAACTGGCAACCTAGTCAACACCTAGATAAGCAGGCCAGAGAGTGGCATGGTGGTTAGGGCAGCTGGACCCCACCTGGCCGACTACATAGTTCAAGTCCCAGATCTGGAAGCTTGGAAAACATGCTATAGATGTGTGAGTGTGTGCCCAAAATGCCAAAAGGAGGGAGAGGTGGAGAAGAAGGGATTACAACATGACCATGCCCCATGGGGGATGCCTTCTCACTTTCCTTCTCGCTCTCTTTCTCAGCCAGCTGCATGTTCCCTAGAAAAATTAAAAACAAATAAACAAAAAACCCATATAAGCACAGATGACAGGAGAGGAAGTGCCTATTAACATGAAAGGTCACAGTCTTCCCTTCCTTTTTTTTTCTGGGAAAGGAATAGAAACAAGCCCAAAGCAAGCAAATAAGGATGTGGGTCACTATTTCACACTTGGAGACAAAGGGATACTGAAAGGAGCAGGTGCTGAGATCTTTGGTAGTGGTAGGTGGGACGGTGGAGGGATGCTGCAGATAGATTGCTGCTGGTGTCTTACTGCTGGGTTTGTGCACTGCTTTAATTTATGGCACATTGGAAGTCAGACACTTACCTGGGGCCAGCGAGTGGAATTTTTATGGGCATGAGAAAATGGATATAAACATGTTTCCTTCTTATCATGAAAGCAAAATCACTACAGAAAATGCCGAAGAGTATGAAAAAGAAAAAAAAAAGAAAGAAAAAGAAACACCCCCAAAATAAAGGGACTTCAAAAAGTCCATGGAAAAGTACAGGTTTCTTTTAGTGCATAAAATTTTGAATTCATGCATAGTTTTTCAATAATGCACATTTTCTATACATTTTTTTTCCATTGCCAGAGGGCACATGCACTCACCACACACAGACAATGAGAAAGGAAGAAAGTAACTCCAAATAGAGTGTGGTTGCACTGTAATCCCTTCTCCTCCATTTCTCCATCTTGTTGGGATCCATGCAAGTAGGCACACATGCCAAGTGTGTGTGTGTGTGTGTGTGTGTGTGTGTGTTTTAAGAGAGAGATTTTTGTTTAGGATGTGTGCATTCACCAGAGGGACAGATAGACAGAAAGTGAGAAATCACCCCCCGGGGGGGGGGGGATGGCCGGGCTGCTATACCTTCTCCTCCATTCTCTTCTCAGGATTTTGGGCATACATACACATGTGCCTGGCGTGAGTTTTAAGCTGCTGAGTCTGGGACTCAAACTGTGGTGGACTACATGGCAGTCCAGCCATGTAATCATGCCACCTGATGGTCCCCGGTGTTTTGTTTTTGGTTTTGCTTTTGTTTTAACTGCTGGGGCCAGGATTCAAACTGTTGTCAGTCATGTGGGATATGTTTCCCTTAACCGCTAGGTTATGGGACTGGCCCATCTTTGAACTTCCTGAAGACTCCTAATCTTGGAGTTTTACAGTTCCTTCATTTTATTTGAACATCTCCCCATTTCTGTAAATTTTGAGCAAAAGAATGATCCAAAGGATTCAAAAGATGGCTGTATGTTATTACCCTGCAGGGATATACCATACATAATGTATTCAGCCCTTTGACGACTGTTAGGCATTTATTTCCAATCTTTGGCTTTTACCAACAGAATTGCTGTAAACCCTCTTAAGTCTTCATTTCTCATAACTACCTTTGGGTGGATGCCTGGAAATGAATCTCTTGAATCATACGACCAGGTTTTTGCCTCACTTAGCTTTTCTCCAGGCCATGTCTGACAGGGCTCAGCTCATGACCAGCCTATATAAAATATTCCTATGGCCAGCCTGGGTAACATAGGGAGACTCTCAAAAACACAAAAAACAAGGCCAAAAAACCCTTACCAATTAGATAAAGGAGAACTGTATGAATATGCTTTTACAATTTTCTTGATGGTTAATACGATTTAATTGCTTTCAAAGGTTTATTTTCCATTTACATTTTTTCTGTTGTGAGTTGTCGGTTTATGCCATTTTTATATTGTGGTGTCCAGTGGTTTCATTATTAATTTGCAAGTGTTCTTACTTTATAAATAATATTGATACTTTACTATATTTGTCGAGAAAATTTCCCAGTCTATTTACTTTGTAGTTTCACATATGTTTTTTTATTTTTTTTCTGCTTAACATGTAGAGATTTTAATTTTTAGATAACAAATTTATCCAGCTTTTCTCTTGTGGCTTCTTCCATTGTGATTTGTATTCAGAGTGTTTCCCCATCTTGATAGCTAAGAAACATTAATGTTTTCTTAAGAGTGTCTTCACTTTATTTTTTATATTAAACTCAGCTGCTACTGAATTTATCTTGGGTTAAGCTATAAGGTAAAATTCTGACCATTTTTCTTGAGCGTTACCAAAGATCTCAGTATCATGTATCATATTATCTTTTCTTTTCTCACTGCTTTGTGAGAAAACAACTTTATTGTACGTCACGTTTTTATATATATATATATTTTTTTTTTGGAGAGGTTTTTGCTATAGGGCACGTGCGCTCGCCAGACAGACAGAGAGAGACACAGAGACAGAAAGCGAGAAATCATTAATGAGAGGGAGAAAGACCAGAGAAGACATGGACACAGGTACACAGTTCCTGCCGTGTGATACTCTGCACCATCTTGGGACTCTGCAGAGTCTCCACAAGCAGTAAGACCCTCACCCTTGGCCTTGGGCCCCCCACACTACAAGCTAAGTAAACCTTTATTCTTTATAAATTACCCAGTTATTGGGAATCAGCAGTTAGCGTAATGGCTGGACTCCCACGTAGTCGACCACAGTTCGCATCCCAGACCCAGTGGCTTAGAACTCACGCTGGGCACGTGTGCGTGCATGCCCAAGATCCCGAGAGGAGAATGGAGGAGAAGGGATTGCGGCATGGCCATCCCCCCTGGGGGGTGATTTCTCGCTTTCTGTCTCTCTGTCTCTGTCTGGCAAGCACATGTGCCCTATAGCGAAAACCTCTCAAAATAAATAAATAAATAAATAAATTACCCAGTTATGAAGCAGCAGGTAATACCACCTTTCTGCATGAAACTCTCTCTTACTTCCCATCCTGCGAGACCCGGTACCCATGGCCCGCACTTCCCTCACCCCCTTGCTCGTCACTCCAGCTGCTCAAACAAGAACTCCACTTTCATCATAGGGCCTCCATCAGGATGTTCATCCTCCAGAGCACCTCAGTTCTTGGGTCTCCAGTTCAGAGTAACCCTCCCCAGAGAGGCTTTTCTTGACACCACCACTATGTGAACAATGCCTCTCTCAGACACTGTTTCCTTTACTCTGCCGTGCTTTCTTCACAGCTCTTTTCTTTTCTTTCTTTTCTTTTCTTTTTTCTTTTCTTTTCTTTTCTTTTCTTTTCTTTTCTTTTCTTTTCTTTTCTTTTCTTTTCTTTTCTTTTCTTTTCTTTTCTTTTCTTTTCGTTTGCCAGAGGGCATGTATGGGAGAGACAGATGGGGTGTGGGGAAGGGAGAAAGCACTCCCAGGAGGAATGGTCACACTACAATCCTTTCTCCTCCAGCTCTACCTCTTTTTGGGATTTGGGCATTCATGTACACATGCCTGACATTTTTCTCAAACCACTGGATCTGGGACTCGAACCACGCTGTTGGCCATGTGGGATTCAGCTACCACCTTGACCATCTAGGAATTGGAGCTCATTCAGAGTGATGAGGTAAAATCTCCGAGAATGGTCAGTGGTGTGTGTGTGCGTGTGTGCATGCATGTGTGTGCATGTGTGTGTTAGGGGTTACATGAATGCAGGAACTCTGTCAGGACAAGGGGATCCTAAAGTTCTGTAGCGGGTACTATTGACATAGCAGAGAGTGGCAGGGTCAGCATGCACTGACCAAGAGCCTTGGGCATTTGAATTACAATTTTCAGAAAAGGAGCAAGAGGAGACTTTCTCCCTACAGAAAAGACATCAGACAAGAGTGGCTGCAGGGAGGAAAGACCTTTCTTACAGAAATGTCCCTATCCAGGATCCTTCAAGCCTGTTGACCAGAGAGCCTAAGAAATGAGGCAAACTGTAGTAAAACAGCCTTGCAACTTCTGTGTCGCAAAAACCGAGTATCTTCCAAAACTTATTTGGCTACCAGGAATCCAGACCAGAGCAGGCTAAGATGAAGGAAGAGAAGAAAGATATTGAACCATGGTCTGAATCCTGGCTCCAGTGGCTATACATAGAACCATGGTCTGAATCCTGGCTCCAGTGGCTTGGAAAACATACCAGGCTCAGGTGCAAGCCCTAAATCCCGACATGGTGGGGAATGAAGGAGTAGGGATGGCAGGGTGACTGCGGCCCATGGCGGGGTCTGTTTGCTCCTTTTCTTTCTCTCTGTCTCTCTCTGGCAAGTATACGCACCTTTTAGCAATTAAAAAATTATTGCACACACTGCATTCCATAGTGCGTGGTGAGTGTCCTAACAGAACAGCTTTGAGTTGCGGGTCTAGCCCTGGGCCGGCTTCCCAGTGGGTCTGACCTGGGCTATCGGGGAACACTACGCTTAAAGGGGCAGTGAGGTGTCGCTTGGGCTGCTCCACTCACTGGAGTCTGCCCAGTGGTGGGAGCCTCAAGCCAACTGAGTGCCCTAATGGAGTAAGAAACACCCCTGCCCTTGAGGGGTTGTCTGAGCAAGGCAGAACCAAGCACTTCTGAGTTAAAGATGCTGTTCCCAGGAGAGGCAAGGTCAGAAGTCTTCTTGACTTGGGTGAGGGGGCACAGCGCCCTTGGCGGGTTGTGACGTTGACTTAGTTTTTCCGGTACTCACTATGGCATTTGTTACACATCTCCAAGAAGCCCCAGCCATGGGTGAGAAATGACAAAACCCTGGGATAGATAATAAATGAAGGGAATGATCAACTTGTAGAGACGGAGAAGAAGCCATTTCCTGTAGGGTATTCATCTTCCCCACTTGGTGCATCATCCA